ACCTTCGCTGGGCAGTGGCCAAGGCAGATGTCAGCTGCCGAGTGACAGCAGGCCTTCAGGGAGAGCCAGTGGAGGCTGGCGGGAGCCCCACACACCAAGCAGATGAAGTCAGGGGTGGGAAATAATCTTGGAATCAGAGGAAGGCTCGCTTTGGGGTAACATTCCTGGAAAGCTCTGCTCTGATTGGCTTGAGGTTGGGGTTTCTGCCCAGGCCTTTCCAGTCAGGAGCAAGTTTATTAATAAACCCTGCCCTGACTCCTGCCCTCACCCTGGGGAGGAAGGCAGGGCTTCCTGGGACTCCTGGCCCCTCATCCCAGGGGTGGTGAGTCCCACTGAGGCGGGGGCGGGGGGGGGAGAAAGACTGAGCCCTTGGATCTAGGCAAGGAGTGCAAATGCCCTGCACCCCCAGACTACATTCCCCACCCCCCTGCAGCCCCAGGGATCCCTCTGCTTCAGCCACGGGTGAGGTGAACAGGTGAGCATGTTCTGTGAGCGCCCTCGTGAGCCCTGGGTGGTGTGTGGGTGGCAGTGCGGGGACAACTGAGCGTGAGGGGTGTTAAGGCCTCAGGAGCAGGCGGCCTCCCTCTGCAACTCCTCAGCACCCAAGGCCTAAATTTACTGCCTCCGCTCCCCCGCCTGCTGGCTCTGACCTCGTTAGGCTCCTGCCCATTTCCCAGGATGGGGGAGAGGAGGAATGACTCCTTAGTCTGAAGAGCAGGGGGGAGGAGGGAAAGTCCTGAGGGTGGGGGAGAGGGGAGACAGGGCACAGAGCTTAATATAGTCACAGGGCAGGCTGAGGAAGATATCGGCTCCTATTACACCTGCCACCTCGCCCCCATCATATGACCCAGCTCCTGCTGGCAAGGCGTGGGCAGGGTGAGAAGCACCTGGTCCTGGGAAGTGCTGGGGGCTGCTTCCACTGGGCTCAGCTGGGTGGTCCTGGCCAGGAAGGGAAGGAGCCTCCAGCACGGATCCCAGCATGGATGCCAAAGGGACCGGCCCCTCTGATCCACACCATCCCCCACCTCCCTCCTTCACCCCCAAATCCACGGTCCCAAATGATGGCACACCTCTGGGCAGAGCCCTAAGCCAGATTCAGGGGTGAGAGTCAGGATGCAAAGTTGCAGGGAAGTTGCTGTGAAAATCAGGTTTAGGATAAGCCCCTCCTGCAGAGAAATCTGAGCCCTATTCCCTCACTGCCCACACTGAGGGTGGAGACACAGCCCTGCCCTGGGGGAGCCCCAGTGTGACGGAACTGTCAGGCAAAATCCTCTCTGCTGGGCTTCCTGTGCGACCCTGGGCATTCACCTCAACATTTCAGAGCCTACGTTTTCTTGTCTATAAGGCGGCAACTCTCCCACGTCCCTCAGAGGTGCTCAGTGCCTACCTGGCAGATAGCAGAAGCTGAATAAAAAGTCATTATTCCTCTGCAGTGGGGGCGTTTTGTGGAAGAAATCATCACCGTTGGTCTTTAATGGGGGATTGCAGTAGCATCCCGTACACTCACCATTCCCACCCAAAGATGGATCATCTCTGGAAGGTCTGACTGTCCTGACACGCCTCCACAGTCTCCCCTGGCAGCCCCAGGCTTGGCATTTACAGTCAACAAATATCTGGAAAGTCAGCCACACAAGTGGGCCCAAGCCTGAGGACACAGGTGCAGCATGGGACAGGGCATCCACCCTAGAAGATGCTTTGCTGTGGCTTCTGGTCATGGACTGCCTGGAAACCAGTTTTTCAAATTTACTTTTTATCAAGGTGTAAGATTTGTGCATCAAATTGTACAAATCTTAAGGACACAGCTTGGTGAATTTGTGCATCTGTATATGCCTGTGTAGCCCCCGCCCAGATAAAGCACACGGTATTTCCAGCACACCAGCAGGCTCCCTCAAGCCCCAACCAGTCAATCCTCTCCCCCAGAGGTAACCCCTATTCTGGCGGGAGCCCCACACACCACCTATTCTGACTTGTGTCCCCTCAGATTGGCTTCGCCTGTCCTTGAACCCCATACAAATGGACTCCAAGGGCATGCCTTCTGTGTCTGGACCAGTCTGTTCAGCCCGAGGTCTGTGAGCGTCCTGTGAGCAATCCTCAGTGCTAGTTCTTCCTTTTTCATGGCCAAGTAGCTGTCCATCGAGTCCCTCATAACTTATTCATCAATTCTGTTGATGGACATTTGGGTTGTTTCCACTTTTTTTTTTTTAGAGAGAGAGACAGAGAAAAAGGGCGCATGTGCACAAGCTGGGGGTGGGTGGGCAGAGGGGCAGGGAGAGAATCTTCAGCAGACTCTGAGCTGAGCAGAGAGTCCAATGTGGGGCTCAGTCCCATGACCCTGAGACCATGACCTGAGCCAAAATCAAGAGTCAGAGGCTTAACCGACTGAACTACCCGGCTCCCCTCCACTTTTGATGTCATAAGACAACAGCAGCCATGGCATTCTTAGACACGTCTTTTGGGCGCATAAACATGGCAACCCATTCTGGAGAGCAGATTTGGGGGTGCATGCGTCATTAAGAACTCCAGGGAGGCACGGAGAGATTAAATATTACTCTGAGCTCCTTGGGTAGACACAGAAGGTATTATGCTAAGTGAAATAAGTCAGGCGGAGAAAGACAAATACCATATGATTTCACTCATATGTGGAATCTAAAAAACAAAACAAAGGAGCAAACAGAAACAGAGTCATAAATACAGAGACCAAATCGGGGTGGGGGGTGGGCAGAAAAGGTGAAGGGGATTAAGAGGTACAAACTCCCAGTTATAAATAAACTAAATAAGTCACGAGGGTGAAAAGTACAGCAAAGGGAATATAGCCAATAGTCGATGAGACTGCAATAACGTTGTGTGGTGACAAATGGTGACTACCGTCTTACTTATCATCTACTTATCTTGGGGGCCGTTGTGTAATGTACTGGAGCGTTGAGTCACTACGCTGGACACATGAATATGACGTTGTACAACCATACTTCAGTTTTTAAAAATTTAAAAATAAAAACCTTTTGAGCTACTGTCCTGGACTATAAGCTTTTTGGGGACCAACAGCCACTCACAGGGGAAGGAGGACAGACACAGAGGAACACCCAAGAGGAACTCCACCAACCTCCTCACTGAACCCAGAGCCAGTCACATGCGTGTGAGTGTGTGAGTGTGTGTGTGTGTGATTATATTCATTTCCTAGAGTTGCCTAACAAACTATCGAAGACATGGTGGCTTACAACAACAGGGATTTAATCTCTCATAGTTGAGGAGGAGGCCATAGTCCAAAACCCAGGTGTTGGCAGGGTTTGTTTATTCTGGACGCTCTGAGGGAGAGTCTTCCATGCCTCTCCGCTGGCTTCTGGTGGTGGCAGGCCATCCTCGGGGTTCCTTGACTTGTGGCTTCCTTGCTATAATTTCTGCCTCCATTGTCCCACGACCTTCTTCCCTGTGTGTCTCCGTGTTTCTGTGTCTACAAACTTCTCTCTCCCTGAGAGGACCCTAGTCGTTGGATTTAAGGTCCACCCTAATCCAGTAAGCTATCATCTTAACCTGATTACCTCTGCGGAGACTCTATTTCCAACGAAGGTCAGGTTCCCAGGTACTGGGGGTTAGGACTTCAACTTATCTCTTGAGGGACACATCCAACCAACCACACTGATTATGACTCAGCACGTTTGTATGTGAGTACACATGAGTGTTTGTGTGGGTGTCTACAGCGTGAGGGAGCGTGGTGTGTGTGTGCATGTGCTTGCCAGGACATGTCTACATTGGTGTCTCTGGTTGTGCGTCTGTGGCCATGGGCACGTGTTTGTGGGCAGGTGTGCATGTGTGCCCCTGCGTGCAGGGCTTTAGAGACCCCGCTGGCCTTGCTGAGGAGGGTGGGAAGGCAGCATGGCGGCAGTGGGCCCAGCTCCCTGCTGTGGCTGAGGAGGTGCTTAGGGCTAGCTGGGGGTGGGCAAGTGGGGCCTTGCCTCATGACTCCAGAGGGTGAGCTGTGAGAAGCAAGGACAAGGGTATTTGCTGAGCTGGGCACAGGTCGGGAGGCTGAGGAGGTGGCTCCAGGTGGCAACGCCTGTTCCCAGGTCCTTTTCCAGGAATGTTCCTAGAAAGCCCCTCCACCCAAGCTCCTATCCCCTGCACAGCATCTGCCTGGATGGGGAGGCTCTGGCTGACTCATACCCTCTTGGGGCTGGAAGCCAGCCCTCAGCTCCTGCCGTGCCAAACAGGTAGGGGTGGAGCAGGTAGCCAGCCCCTCCCAAGCCCCGCCCCGAGGCCCATCTGGATTAGCGCCCCATCACCCACCATGCCTGGCCTGGGGCCCAACCAGAAAGGGAGAAAGACAGAGGCGAGTATGTGTTCAGGTAAGGCCCAGAAAGAAGGCTGTTAATCTCCCAGGGCAGCTCTTTTAGGCAAACCCACCACCCAGAGACGGGACATTGGGAGGGTCTCTTCCATAGTCTTGTTGGCTTAGGGCCCACTCTGAGCCACTGATCTCATTTAACCCTCACAACCAAGTTTAAATGGTGTTCTGGTCATCCCCATTTTACAGATGTTATTGCGGAGGTCCTAAGGAGTTAAATGGCCTGCCGAAAATGACACACGTGTTTATGTTTTTTGGCATTTTTTATTCTCTCTGGAAATCCACACCTCACCCACTCCTCCACACTCAGACCACAGCTGCTCTTGCGGCAGCCCACCTGCCCACCACACACACCCCCTCCAGGTGCGGTCTTGCTCCCCCCCCTTCCCCAGGAAGACCGCCTGGCCCCTGGGGTGGCGGGACAAATTAGGGGGTGGTCTCTCCCTCTCCTCCCACCCTCCTGGACTTTTTGGCCGTGTCCTGGTTTTGTTTTTGGTGTGGTCGTGAGTTTACTGACTCTCTGAGAATGTTGGTGGGTTTGCGTGCACACGTCTGGAGGATGGGGCTTCTGGGCACACAGCTGTAGCTCCAGCTGGGTTTGCCCATCGGAGACACACGAGGGCAGAGTTGCGGTGGGATATACATTGCACAGGCCGTATCTGTGAGTGTGCCTAGGCACGGGTGTGCCAGCCCCTGTGGGTGTTCATGAAGAGTCTGCCCCCCTGCATCTTTGGGTGTCTATAGCATGACTCCCCATTTCTCTCCCCTTACCATAGATCCGCCACCGTCAGTTCAGACTCCTGGCCCCCAGGTAAGAGCCTGGTAAAAGCCACCTGTATCTGGGGACAGAGACACCTGGGTCTGAGGCCCCGCCTGCTCTGGCCACTGGTGCCCTTGAGCTGGTATGGCCCCACCCAGGCAGCGGGAGTGTCCTCATCCAATGGGATGGGGTGACATGGAGGAGGAGGCTTCTCCCGCCCCCAGGAAACACAGGGAGCACCCGGCTTCCTCGATGGGAGGCTCATTACCCCAGCGCTCAGTGGTTTTGAGGGGGGATTCACGCCAGGACTTGGCACATACTACAAAGTGTGGGGGGCACCCCCAGCACTCCCTCCCGCGGCTGGCCGGGGGAGGGGCTGTGACGTTCGGTGGCCTCATGCTGCTGAGAGGAAGTAGCTAATTGCCGACCTGATGACTGGGCAGGCTAAGGAATGGGGTGATGATGCCACCCGCGGAAGCAGGCGCCCCAGCACAAGGAGGGGGCCCTGCAGGGATGGGGTGGGCCAGGCCAGGCTCTGCAGAGGCTGAGGTGGTTGTGGCCAAAGGAGCAGGGGGTGGGGGGTTGTTGAGGCTGGGACCGTGGGAAAAGACTTCTCCCCAGCTTCCCTCAGCTTTAAGGGAAAAGAGTTGGGAGGCCCCAGGGTATGAAGGGTTTTGGGAAGGGGCTACAGGGGGCGGAGGGGGAGGAGAGGGTGGCAGAGGCTTGCATCTACACTCCCCAACCTTCCCGTGCTTCCCACCCTTGCCTTTAGCCCCTCTTTGGCCCCTGTGGCCCCAGGCTGGTGAGGAAGGAGGGAGCAGACAGAGGGCTCTTTTTACCATAAGATCCCCCGGGGCCCAAGCAGCCTACCTGGCCATACCTACTCTGCTGAAGGCCAGAGCATCCAGAAGTGGTGAGACTTCAGGTGTTCTTGAGGACAGGAAGAGCAGGTGCTTTGGACAGAGAGAACAGAACAGGCGAAGGCTGGGCAGTGGGCTTTAGTGAGGCTAATGGAGGATAGGGGCTTGCTGTCATGGTTAAGGGGGGGGGCAGGGCCCTTCTGTACCTAGGGCCACACTGTCCCTTCCTGGCAGAAACTGGGTAACCAGACTCAGAGCTTCTCCCACAGTGCTGGCCACAGCCTCTGGCCCCGGCAGGCCTTGGCCTCGACTGCCAGAGCAAGGACCAAGTCAGGAGCCACACAGGATGGAGGCCCCACCCCCCAAATCCCCAGGTGCATCCATTCCAGAGAACCTGCCAGCCCTGAGCGCCAAAATCCAGGACCCATCCATCTGTAGGTCAGTGCTCTGGGCCCTTAGCGCCCCCTGTGGGCAGGGAGCTATACTAATGGGGGGAGGGCCCTCCACCTGCCTGAGGGAGGAGACAGACCCGCCCTCCCAATAGCACACAAATCCTGCCTCGGGGTATGCCCAGTGTAATGAAGGGGACTCAGACATTGACCTACTCGCTCCAATCTGAAATTCAGCCCCCGTCCTCAGGAAGATCCCACTCCGATGGAGACGTGTTCTACCAACAAAGCTCCATTCTGAAGGGTGAAACAGAGTACCGGGCTTCAAGAAACTTAGTCTGAGGGTAGAGACACACGGCCACATAGAATTTTTCTGGGCCCCCCAATCTGTTGCTGACATGGATTAGACATTTCAGTGACTTTAGTGCTGCTAGAAAAAAATACAAGACGTCCAGTTAAATTTGAATTTCAGTTAAACGACGAATATTTTAGTATAAGTATATCCCATACAACATATGGGGCGTACTTACGCTAAAAAAAAAAAAAGTATCCATTGCTTATTTGGAATTCAAATTTAACCGGACATCCTGTACTTTTATTTGTCAAAGCTGACAACCCGAGATGTATCCGATCTAAGGGAGGAAGGAAGGGGGAGGACCCCCAGACACCAAAATGCAGGTAAACATTACAGCGTGCTCCAGCTCAGGAGAGCAGTGGTGGGGCGGGAGGGGAGTCCTGGGGCGCTGGCTCGCAGCAGTTTAAAATTCCTTCCAGGCCAGATCCCTAATCCCTTGGTGCACAATGGCCGCCTTCTCCCCCACCGCCTGCGCCCACGCCCTCCCCCGCGGGGCCGTGGCAGTGCCACCACGGGCCTCTTTAAGCCCCTTTGAAGCCGGCAGAGCCCCGCGCCGCGGGAGGCCCCGCCGCTATGCCAGCTATGCCAACTATGTCCCTGCCGCCGCCGGCCACCACTGCTCCCCCATTAATGCTGGCTAATCTGGCTAATAAATAAACTCCCCTCCCAGCCTCAGCCCCCCACTGGCTCCTCCCTGCTCCCCCAGAACTGATTTCAGTGCTCGGGTACAATATGCGTCCCCACTCCCTTCTGATAGCTCTCTCTCTCTTTTTTTTCTATCGCCGTCCTAAGACCTGTTGCCCATCGCTGACGGAATTTGGGGAGTCTCTGCCTCGCGCATTGCACCAGCATCTCTTTCAGTCCACCTGCGCGCGGGGAGCGGGCCACATGGCTAGGTGCGGGGACACCGCTCGATGCCCGCGGAAGATCCGCTGGACCGGAGAGCGCCCCCTGGAAGCCAGGGGCGGTGGGGGCACGCCCCCTCCTGGCCACGCCCCCAGGCCACGCCCTCCCGTGCGCGCGGCCGTGGGGCGCCTGGCGAGCAGCCCGGGGACAGCTGACTCCGCGCCGGGGGAAGGCGATGGCGCCTCCCACGGCAGGAGTCCTTTCTCCACGGCCTCTGCCGCCCCCTGCGTCCCCACCCGGACCTCGGAGAGTCTGACTCAGAGCCGAGCCCGCATCGCTTCACCTCTCACCACACACCCGGAGCGCGCGGAGAAATTACAAGATTGCAGGGGCACTGCTAACGCGCTCTAATTACCCACCGCCGCTCTTCTCCGCGGCGCTCTGCGGCGCTGGGCCAACGCGCCCTAATTAGGAACCCGTCCCTTTCCCCGGGCCCAGGAGCGCGCGCGGTGGCTCTGCCCGCCGACGCCTCCTGTTGCCCTCCGAGACTGCCCTGAGACCCCCACCTGTGGTGGGGAGAGGGGAGGTGCAGGACTTGGAGACCCGAGCCTCAAGGTGAAGAAGGCCGTCCCGTCCCTCCCTCCCGTGAGCCCACAGCCCTCCAGTTGTGTGTCCGGAAGGGACAAGGGACTCGGAGTGTGGGGAGGAGGCAGGACCCGTTGCGTTGACAGGGACACTGAGGCCCGTGGAAAGTAACTGTCCAGGGCAGGGCACCAGGGCAAGAGTATCCCCACTTTGCACGTGAGGCACAGAAAAGTGAAGGTTTTCACGGGGAAGGCCACCCAGCCAGAACTCCCAGATCAGCTTATTTCAGGGTGGCTTGTGACCCGCCCCACAGGCTCCTTCCCCTGACAGGGAAATTACCCTCTCGCAAGGAAAGGTGATACCTTCATCACAGACCTGGAGCCGCAGGGGGGCCGGGAGGCCCACCAGCTGTGGCCTGTGTGTCAGAAGGGAGCTAGTGAGGAGTGGCTAAAGTCTTGCTTCCCGGGAAGGGTGGGAGAAGGCCCTGAAGACACGGAAGCCAGGCCTCGTGGCCGGGACTAAGAAGGAGCAACTTGGCTGTCAGCTTCTTTATCCAAACCAGGCTTAAACCTTTCCTCTATCAGGAGTTCTTTCCTGATGTCCAGGGGGCTGCAGACTCATGGCCTTGAGCCAAGTTTAATCTTTAGTGAGGTTTTGTTTGGCCTGCAATGAGTATGTGTGTTTTTTCTTTTATTGAATATGAGAGCTGACAGACAGTGTGAGTTGTCTGACTGCCCTCCCCATTGGCAAAGGCCAGTGTGGTTAGACTAGTCCCCAAAGGCATTTGGGTTTGAGACCCCTGATTGAAACCAGTCCACTTGGCTTTGCCTTTAACCTTTTCTCAGGTGCCGGGATCTTGGTCTGGGCTAATGCCACCCCCATGTAGTCTTTGCATGTTTCTTGGTAAGCCTGCCCAGGTGAGTGACCCTGGGCGCCCCCGTTTAGGCTCCCCAGATGCGGTGGCAGTGGGGGCTGCACATGCCTCTGGAAACCCCTCTGGTACCCCTTTTTTTTCATCTTGAATTTCAATCTGTGCCTTGGGTGTGCCTTCCCCAGCAGGGATGGTAGCGGTTTTTCTGCCATGCAACTAAAGATTCCTTGAGGGCAGGATATTAGATCTCTCCCTTTAGTCTAGGATCTTACTGAGGGCTAGGGGACTGGGGTGTGGGGGTAGTATCCTCCATCACAGGAAGCTCCCCGAGGGCAAGGCTGTGTCTCCCCCTCAGACTGAGGCTCCCTGAGGGCAGGGCTATGGCTCCCCCTCAGTCTGGAGCTCCTTGAATGCACTGGATTCTCGCCTGAGACAGGGCCTTTGCACCCCACCCCAGCCCTCTGGCTCTGGCAGCACCCGGGCATTCCTCCCAGGACACCGTTTGTCATGCTTTGATGAATGAAACCTACTAAGAATAACTCAGTCCTTGTAGTCTCTAAAGGACAGAGGTGTGGGGAGAGGGAGGGGCTTGTGACTGTGGGGGGCCTGGGGGGAGACGGACACATTCTTTCATCCAATAGCATTTTCCCAGGTGCCCATCTGGACACCGAGGGGAGACATGGTGAGTGCCATAGGGCCCCCTACTGTGCCATTTCTGCTGTTGTCAGTAGGGAGGTGTCCACAGGAACCCTGAGACTGAAATCCCCACCCCCTTCTTCACAACTTCCCCACCGCAGAAGTCATCACCTCAAGGCCACCCAGCCCCCCTCTATGCCTGGCCCAAGCTCCCTCTCCTTGGAACTCAGGTGTTTGGGGTCAGGGGCTGCTTCCAGTGAGTCACGGTTGTGGAGCGGGGGGGACCTCTGGAGCAGCCTTCCTCCTATGGAGACCTGTCAGAGTGACCATGGGAGAATCTAGAAGCAGTCTCTCTTAAAAAAAAAAAAAAGGGGGGGGTGCCTGGGTGGCTCGGTTGGTTGGGCGCCTGCCTTCCGCTCAGGTCATGATCCCCAGGGTCCTGGGATCAAGCCCCACATAGGGCTCTCTGCTCGGCAGGAAGCCTGTTTCTCCCTCTCCCACTCCCCCTGCTTGTGTTCCCTCTCTCACTGTGTCTCTCTCTATCAAATAAATAAAATCTTAAAAAAAAAAAAAAAGGATGTAGATGCAATCTCAAACTGGCAGGAGGGCCTTTGGTGCTCTGAAAGGGGGAGCAGGTGTGAGTGCCCCAGAGGATGCATCCCTGTCCCCTGCTCACTTTCCACTCTTCCTCCCTCATCCTTCCCCTTCCCACTTCAAAACCTCAAGCCCCCAGTTAAGAATTGAGCCACCTTTCCAAAGCAACTCTTCTCCCAGGCCCTTCACAGGGGGCCTGTGGGGTGGGGAGGCTGTGACCTTAACCCGCTTCTCTGGATGGGGCCTTCCTGGCACTCCACCCCCAATTGCCACCTCCTGAGAGGGACATTTCAGCCTGATCTTGGCAAGATTGTCAGCCTATGAGCCAGGCAGTCTGGTATGGTACCAGCTCTGCCACTGATCCCACTGTGACCTTGAGAAGCTATGTGCTTCTCGGGGCCTCAGTTTCCCCATATGTAAAAGGACTTTTGTCCAGTTTTCAAACTTTTTTTTTAAATAATGGATCCTTCTGTTTAGCAACTTAAGTGGCATCTCTACTGGTAACACAGAAAACGTTTGGGGTTCTGTGGTCAAAATAGGAGTGGGGGCCCAGGACCCTAGTCCATCTCTCTCTCTCTCTCTCTCTCTCTCTCTCTCTCACACACACACACACACACACACACACACACACACACACACACACATCAGCTCCAGGGCACTCCAAAGAGCACACTTCATAAACCTCTGAACCCTGAAATCATTCCCTTGCAAGCATTCTGGGGCCCTGCCAGGGCTGGGAGCTCTCGAACTGGGGGTTCTGACAGCTCTGAGCATGAAGCAGTGATTGTGGGCCTTCCGGGTGTAGGGAGCAGGGCCCCGGGATAACAGGGTGGGGGGCTCAAACAGATAGGGGGCATCCTTTCAACACTGGGTAACCCCAGCAGGGCTGGGCGGGAGCCTGGGTCCAAATCTGGGTATATGCAAACGCTCACTGCCCTCCCTACCCACCCACCCCCGCCCCAGCCAGAAGTCAGGTGGGTTTCTCTGGTGCTGGGCCCCTCAGGTGGGGGGAGAGTGGGATGAGTGGAGACAGAGAGGGCCCTTCCCCAGTGGGAGGGGCAGCACTTATGGCAGGAGCCTCTGCAGCTTTTTTCTGGAATCCCTCTCACTATGCCTAGGACAAGGACCAGAGCAGCAGGGGTGGGCGGCTGATAAGGGCCCCGCGGTGGTTGAGCTGTAGGAGGCCGAGCACCAGGAAACCCAGCTGGGGTTGTGTACCCCACTGCAGGAGACCCGGGGAGCCCCACAGCACCACTAAAGCTGCAAGTGTGAGGATTCGGTGCCAACAGGGAATGCAGGTGGGAGGGGGCCCTTGGGGCACTGGTGACAGGAAGGCCAGAGTGAGGAGGGGAGCAGGTGCCACAGAGGGAAGAAAGATAACACCAATAAGAGGCAGGCCTGGGCCTGGGGTCCCAGCACAGGGCAGCGGGCGGGTCCCTCCAGAGTGGGGGAACTGCTGAAGTACCCCAGTCCCCCCTTGCCAACAGATGGCCTGCGCTCAGGGGCGCTGAGAAAGGCTTGTGTTCAGCCCAGCCACCCAGGGTCACCAGGCAAAGGAGGTGCTGCCCCCACACTTACACCCCCAGGCAGCATGCACCTGCACAGCCCCAGACAGACCATTTTTCCTGATTTCCCTCAGGGCACCTCACCCTATCCCAAACACACACACACACACACACACACACACAGAGTCATTTGTCCCCTAGAGACTTCTCTGCCTTGGCCTAGGGAACTCCTGGATCTCTGTTCTCTGCCAGGCACGGCTCTGGGCACTGGGGCTATGGGAATAGAAAAATCAGCCAAAGTCTCTGCCCTCGTGGTACTCACATTCTAGGGAGGGATGACAGTTGATCAACAAGTCAGAAAAGACAAAAGTTGAGGTCATGATAAGACTTGGAGTGGAGAGTGTGGCATGGGTGGGGCGATTTCAGATGGCGTAGTCAAAGACTGTCTTTGGGAGAAGGTGACATTTGAGTGCAGACCTGAGCTCCGAGAAGCCAGTCATGCTTTGGAAACAAAGAGTCCAAAAATGTACAATATTTTTAAAACAGAAAAGAACACGGCCGGCACCTGGGTGGCTCAGTTGGTTAAGCGACTGCCTTCGGCTCAGGTCATGATCTTGGAGTCCCAGGATCGAGTCCCGCATCAGGCTCCCAGCTCGGCAGGGAGTCTGCTTCTCCCTCTGACCCTCTTCCCTCTCGTACTCTCTATCTCTCATTCTCTCTCTGTCAAATAAAATAAATATAATCTTAAAAAAAAAAAAAGAACACGGGTTCACGAACATTAAAGGGCAAGAAAGTGAGGAGTGTTTCAGGACATCTGCTATATGCCCAGCATGATCCTAGGACATTCACATGCACCGTCTCCCACAACCCGCCTCAGAACCCTGTGTGTCAAATTTCATTCATTTTACAGATAAGAAATATGAAGCCTAGAGAGGTTACTGTTTCATTCATCTAATAAGATGTATTGAGTTTTGGGGCGGCTGGGGGGCTCAGTCTCAATCCCAGGACCCTGTCCCCCCCCAACTCTAGAGGGACCCGCCCCTTGCCTTCAGCTCAGGTCATGATCTCAGGGTCCTGGGATTGAGCCCCAAGTCGAGCTCTCTGCTCAGCGGGGAGTCTGCTTCTCCCTCTCCCTCTGCCCCCACCCCAGCTTGTGCTCTCTCTCTCTCTCTCTCTCAAATAAATAAATAAATTTTTTAAAAAAAGATGTATTGAGTTTTAGCCTCTAACACTATAATAAATCCCACAGGGGCCCTGCCCTCTTAGGGCCTCCAGTCTGTGAGAACACAGAGGTGGATCAGGGAGGGCTTCCTGGAGGAGTCCATGCCCCAGCTGAGTCTGAGAAGGTGAGGAGGGGGTGACAGGGGAAGTGATGAAGTAAAAAGAGGG